CTCTCTCTCTCTCTCTCTCTCTCTCTCTCAGGTTGACGTTTCTGTCCTTTTATAAGGGAGCGTTTGAAAAGAGGAGTTTTTTTAAAGAGGGGGGGGGGTTATGAGGTTTGTTTGTTTGTTTTTTTCCCTTGCTTGTGCCTAACGCCGTTTTGTCGCTGCTGTGGTTTACTTTTTGGTACCTTCTTTGTGTGTTTACATGCGCCTACTCCTCCTATACGCTCTGGATTGCAGAGGTATGCGTGTAGATATCTGACGGCGCACGTACAAACTCCGTCGCAAATATATATACATGCATATATATATATATATGTCCAGGTATGTATTTATTTATTTATATGCATCTTTGTGTGCGTATGTGCATAATTGTTTATGGAGGAGCAAGGATCCTCTTTTCTGTGACTCTTGTGAATCCAGTTTAGTTATGCCGTTGCAGAAGCGATTCATCCAAGTGCCTTCCAGTGGAGTATAGGGCGACCTGCACGCCGTACTGAGTCAGTTTCTCCATCTCTGAGCACACATATATATTTATTTAGGTATTGGGTTATATTATGGGGAACCAGCTGGCCGCGGCAACCTCCGTCAATGTCGCCGATGTCTCGTCCTTACTGGCTCTTGTCGCGCCGCTCGGGGGAGAGCACCGTTATCACTTCCGCTCCTTTCACTGTGTGAAGCTGATGGGTGCGGCAAACGGCGCCACGGAGACGTTACGCTCGCGTCCCTTCTTTCTTTCTGCGGCTGAAAGCCGCGAGACGGACGCGACACTGCGCCGCCCATCCCAGCTAGCCGGCGGCAGTGATGTTGTTTTGAAAGTCTTTGTGCGCACCCTCGGTGACACACCGCAGAAGCAGTTGGTGGAGTTCTGCTACGACCATTTGCTGGAGCTTCATGAGCGAATGGCAGACGCGCGAGGCACGGCCGCTGCCGGGGGTGGGGGTCGTGCCCCACCGCCGTGTAACGTGTTGTTCTACTCTCGGATGGAGGTGCACAATGACAGGTTTTGCATGCTTGAACGATCGTATGTCGCCTACTCGCTCTCAGAGCGACTTGCCACGCGACCGTATTGGAACATGGGCGAACGTCTCTTTGCTGGGTATCAGCTCCTACAAGGACTGGTGCAGCTACACGAGGGATGGGAAGCCGTTCATGGCGACTTGAAGACGGACAACGTCTTGGTGGACACCTCTGGGTGGCTCTACATGACGGATATTTGCCCTTTCAAGCCCGGACTTCTTCCGGCAAACAACCCGGCCTTGTTTGACTACTACTACGACACGAATGAGACGCATGTTTGTTTTTTGGCTCCTGAGAAGTTTCTGGACGTGACGCTTCCGTTCAACACCTCGAATTTGAACGCAAATGTTCATACGAAAGCGATGGACATCTTTTCGGCGGCGTGCGTATTGGCACACATCTTCACGGAGGAACCGCTTTTTTCCCTCTCGGACACTCTTAGTCTCCGCTTGCTGCATACCCAGCAAGCACGGGGGCTCATGGTGCAAAAGTTATTAACGGAGCGTGGTGTTCCCCCAAATGTGCACTGCATGCTTCTTGAAATGTTGTGCAACCCACCGGCCACTCGTCCCACGGCGCGGCAGTTGCTGGAGGCCTTCACCCCGTCGGTGTTTCCTTCGTATTTTGACTTTATTTATCGTGACATTCTTCCACCACTTCTGACACGCCCACCCGACCTACAAGTGCAGCTGCTCTACTCTCGACTGCAGGATATTCTTGAGGAGGTGGAGCGGCACTGTCATTCCACGGACGCCAAGCAATGTCACCCGACGCACGTTAAGGAGGCTAAGCAGCTGAGTGTGCAGCTGCTGCTTCCTGTTATTCTTAACGCCAGTCTTCACCTCATCACGGATGAGGCCTTCTGTCGGCTCATTTCTATCCTTCAGAAGATCCTTCCGCATTGTTCGTTGGAAGTGCAGAAAGACACACTACTCCCTTATGTTCTTCATTACGTGAAGATGGAGCGCCACCCTGTGGTTGCCCGTATACTTGCTTTGCGTACGTTGTCTATGATATGCCACTCTACCCCTTTCTCCGCCAGTGATGCAACCATCTTTGACGACCTTGTCCTGCCCTGTGTGGAACATCTTCTTAAAACAGACACCACTGATGTTGCTCTTATTGTGGAGGTTGCGGACCAGTTACCGGAGATTTTACTGCGAGCTCGTAACTTTTTAGAACATCGTCAGGCACTTGCCTCTGCCAATGCGTGGCAAAGCAGCTTTGGGGAGCAGCTTAATGCTCTTCTTGACCGTGGCTGGGATGCACTTCGCTCGCTATACAAGCATCCTCATACAACGATTGTTGTCGTGACGCTCCGACGCACGGTGGATGTGGTGGCCTTCCTTGGAGAAGAAAGGGCACAGGACGACCTCATCCCGTTTCTCACCACAGCCATTGCTTCAGCTATTGATGTTCAGCGAGAATTGTACCCACAGGCTATACTGTGTCATTTGTACCTGCAGGCACCTAAGCTTAAGACACTGCGGTTTTTCCTGGAAGAGGGCTTGAAACAGACGGATGTGACTTGCCTGGAACGGACCATTGAGAGCCTCGCCGCCATTGTGGAGAAAAAGTGTCTCGCTGTGTGGGACATTATGCCCTTGGTGCATCAGGCGTTACCGCACATTATGAGCTCCAATAAATGGGTAAGCATAGCAACATCTCGCATGCTTGAAAAGGTGGCCCGCACGCATCGTGTCAGTGATGTATGGATGTATCTAGAGTGTGCTGTTGGACCGTTGTTGCGCCACCCGGTGCCGCTCTCTCGCATCTCCGCATTTCCCACAGCTGTGAAGTTGGAAATGTCAAATAGTGTTCCTCTCGTGGAGCAGGTGATGATGACGACGGACGCAGAGGTGCACTTCCTAGGTGGCGACGCAGATTCGCAGGAGCGTGTGTTGTGCAGAAGCGCAAGTCATGTTATGCCGCAGTATGGCACATCCTTCGGGATCGCAAGGCGCTCGTTGCGGGGGCTTGCTTCACGGGTGGCATCTGTTGATGTAACATTTGACTCAAGCTTGTTCAAACCAGAGAGCTCCCAAACAGAGAGAGCGGCGGGGAGGTTGCGTGACAGCTGCCAGAAGCCAAGATGGGAATTATCTTTTCTGCCAACCTGGCGCGAGCAGAAGCGGGTGCTTTTACGGCAGCAACCACAAATAGGTGATGGAGACTCCAGCGGGTTAGCGTCACACGCCTCAGAGCGAAAGCACGCTGTCGGTACTTTGCACCCCACACGAGGCGGCGTAGAACAAGGGGGAGAATCCTCCATCCCTGCTGTGGCCAACGTCACGTGGAACGCGAGGGAGCTAAAGCCGATCGCTGCGCCCTTCTTCACGCAGACGGTCCATCTTGGCGGGATCTACTGCTCCTCCGCGACAAGGGATGGGACGTTGGTGACGGCCGGCAGTCGGGGCGAGGCGGTTCTTTGGTCGCTTGGCTCAGAAGGGATGGACTACTCACACCGTATGCAAATCGGTGCCTCTCTCACTAGCACGTTTCTCTTCACAAACTTCCTGCGGGGGGGAATGAGCCCACTACTCTGCATGGGTGGCACAGACGGGGAGTGGCGTGTTTTCGATGTCACCTGCAACAACATCGTCTTGCAGCGTTCTTTGGACGGCAGCGCACTGACCTCCGCCTGCTCGCTCGGGGATTTCGTCACCCTCGTGACTGGGGCATTGGGCGGCGTCTTCGCCATTGACTCTAGGGCGGGGAAGGAAGTCTGGCAGACGACGCTTCCACCTGTGGTTGGTCCACCGAGTGGTGCTTCGCCCCTCTTTCTCGACTCCCGAGCGTACGGGGCGTCGGTGGTAACACTTACGGGGGGAGTTGCCTTGTTTGACCTTCGCTTTCAAATGTTGCTGCAGAATTACCGCCTTGGAAACGGAAACGGCGGCGATCGCTACGAGAACGACGGAAGCAGCCGGGCGAAGACCCGTCTCATGAATAATGCGAATGCCATTCTGTGTGTCGCCCCGGACACCGCATGCACGTTCTCTCTGGCGAATGCCAACCGTCCTGGAGTGTTTTTGGGAACACGGGCAGGGACCGTGCATTGGATGGACCTCTCCAGTGGTGAGACTCGAGTGGCCCTGCAGCCCAACACAATCGGAGAGGCGACGAGGGCGTTGTTGGTTCAACCAAAGCACTCTGTGGTCATCACGGCAGGAGATGACATGTGGATTCGAAAGTGGTGCCTGGCCGCTCCCAATCGATCCAAGACTCTTGTCTGCCCGCCGTGCGTGTCCCCCGTGTACGCTGGGACTATCCGCGGAGGAATTGCAGAGGCACAGGCGGGGAAGCACTTTGCGAGTGTGCAGCCTGCCCATTTCAATGAGCTGCGCTCGAGCAATCATGGTTGCCTGCCCGATGGTGTTGTGCCGCGACACCACGAGGACGCCATTCTCACTTTATGCGCTGTATCAAACGGCCATGCATCCTACTTGGCCTCCGGGTCTCGCGACGGTACACTGACGGTGTGGCTCAATGCAGAGTAGAGAGCAAAGAGGAAGGCGTGACACACTTGCTTTACTTGTTGGACCTGTCATTGACGGGATCACAATTGCTGTGTGTTGCCAACGGACGAGAGACGGACGACAGAGGTTGGACGCACCTCAGAAACCGATGCATTCATAGGGATTACTACTACTGCTAATTCCTTTTTTTTTGTACTTCTTTACTTGTTGACGTTCTCGTGGAGCCCTCATCATTCCTTCTTGTTGTAGTGGCTGGGCGTGTGGAAACTTTTCTTTTATTGGGACTGCTGGGGCGAGGGGGGGGTGGGCAAACAAAAGTAATGACGGCACAACAGGATGCAGCAGGCAGCGACACTATTGCCCTTGTGCGGGCGGCGGAGGAGCGCATTCCATGTGAGATTTGCTGCCATTTCACCGGAATGGCAAGCTACCGCAAGCTTAGGGACGGTGACGGGGGAAGGTTGGCGTCTGTTTCGCGCCAAGGTAAACGGTTCAGGGACCCCACGCGTGAAAGGGAGGTTCGCATAAAGAGCTGCACATGCCGTGTGCTGTCGTGCATGGCATGCCAAGTACTTAAGGGGTACTGTGTGATTTGGGCCGAGTCTTTGCTGGACGTCGCAACGTACGACCCGTTCGCCTCACATGAAGCGGGACGAAGAAGGGTACATGAGAAGAGCAACGCAACGGCCACGACGACGACAGCGAAGGGAGTGTGTGAGTATCATCAGCTGACACTCCGCACGCTTCATATTGTTGACCAGGCGGCGTACAAGCAACCGGTGCGTCACTCCTTCGCGTTACAGTCTGTTTGCCAGCCTGGAAGAGTACTTCAGCTGGAGTGTTATCCCCGCCACATGGTGCACTTTGGGCTACTGATGTATGCCCTCTGGCAAAGCCCTGATGAGGTTTTCAGGACCAGAGGTGGCGAGCCACGTCTGCCGAGGAAGACGACGACATCTGAAGTTATGTCTACGGGCACTGAGAATACTACTGCGATGCCGTCGTTGTCGTCATCGTCGCAGTTTCCATTCCTGACGTCTGCCGAGCACGCGTCGGTGCTTATCCTTGGCCTTGGTGGAAATGTGATTGGAAACTGCTTGGATGCTGCCCTTCCTGTTGATGTGCCTATTGACGTTGTGGAGGTGGAACCAGCCGTGCTGGAAACCTGCCAGCGGCAGGGCCAGGTGCCACCATGGGCGGAGGTTGAAGCCGAGACGACAGCTGAGTCTGCACGTGTGTGGGTTGCTTCACGCGGGAAGCAGCGGCACCCAAACTATCGCTTCATTGTTGGGGATGCCCGTGAGGTCTTGCGAGGGGGCAACCCCAAGACGGCTGAAGGCAAGAGTCCGCTTCATCAGCGTCGCTACGGTCTTGTATTTCTCGATTGCTACGACCCCGAGAAGGAGCGCATGATGCATGATGTCAGTCTCATTGATGTGTGCCGTTCTCGCCTGCGCCCGGGCGGGGCGCTAATTGTGAATGCGCACATTTTGCCACTACAAGGGACACTGGAGGAGCAGTTTCTGGCGCGCGGTTTTGACTCCGTGCAGGCATTGCGAGTTGCAGGGTGTGACCAGAGCATTGTGGTTTGCTTGGCCAAGGACAAGGCGGCGGCGGGTGGTGGCGCCGAGAACGTTAACAACGGGGGAGGATCCCAGCAACAGCGGCTGCCGCTTACAAGGCTGGAGCGGTTCTGCGTAAGACATGCCCGCCAGTTGGCGTGGTACATTCAAAACCCCTATAGGGCAGACCTCGGTGTGCGACGTTTATTTCGCGGTGATTTTTGCCTCGATGCAAACTGGTTGAAGTCATCACGTTCTGTGGAAGGGGCTTCGTGCCGCACGCGTGTGTGGGAGCACTACGATTAAGATGTGCGCCGTAAAAGGGCAGTTTAATAACCGTGTAGACGCAATATGCATCTGCTGTGTTGTGGTGTGTGTTGCTCTGATGTCGGGGAGTTGTCGTCTGGTTATTTTCTGTTTGTGCGAGTTTTCTTTTTCTCCGTCGGCTTCCTTGACGTCGGCCGCCGACGATGATGAAGTGAGGGGCAGTGGTAGTGGTGAAGGACAGGAAGGAAGATGGATGTCTACCGGCAGGCCAGCGAGATTGTGCGCGCCGTCCGTGAGGGCAATGGCACCGCAAAGGCTCTCTGCCTTCGCAAGGAGATGCAGAAGAAGAAGCAGACGTATGCGGTGGTGTGCGAAACGCTGCGGCATCACGACCTCCTGCAGGACGTCCTCGATCAGGCAGAGTTCTTCAAGTACTACCCGCGCGCCAACAAGGGGTTCGCCATCTGCATGGCGTACGACGTCGTGTTGGGAAAAGGGCTGAACACCAATCGCGATACGACGGCGCAGGCGATCCAAAAGTCCGCGCCGTATCTGCGGGAGGCGTATTGGCACGTGAAGAAGCACCACGTCATTCCCCCACGTGCGCATGAGCCTTTTGCCGAGGACGGTAGCAACCGGGGCGGGGAGGGGGATGGTAACCAAAATAACGGGGACGGGGGCAATTACAGTCGCCCTCACAAGGGCGCGCAGCCACGCCCCTCGGGCGATGGCGATACGGCGACTCAGGCAGCCGAGCTGCTGATTCCACGGTACGCGCGCGTGAACACGTTGAAGATTGACATGGAGAGCCTGGTCGAGCGTCTCCAGCGAGCTGCCGAGAAGCGCGGCCGTGAAGATGGGGCGAAACCTCAGTTGCAGCAGCAAAAAAAACAACACTATGCGAAGGGGTTTCGCACCTTGCCGGCTTTCACTGTAGATCCTGTTGTACCGTCGCTGCTTGTCTTTCCCGCAGGCACCGATCTTCACGCCCACCCCGCGGTGCGGAGCGGTCAGCTCGTCCTGCAAGATCGTGCGTCGTGTCTGCCCGCATGCGTCCTGTTGGAGGCGGTGGAGGTGGTTAGGGCGTCGTCCATCGCGGCCCCCGCACCGCTTGAGTACATCGTTGACGCCTGTGCCGCCCCTGGCAACAAAACAACGCATCTCGCGGCGCTGGGTGCCCCAACTGTGAAAATCATGGCGGTGGAGCGCGACGAGAAGCGCGCGGAGCTGCTGCGCAACCGCGTCCAAAGCCTCGGCGCCAGTGACTACGTGAATGTCGTCAACATGGACTTTTTCCAGATGTCCTCTGCGGATCGTGAGGCAACTGAGGGAATTCTGCTGGACCCAAGTTGCAGCGCGAGCGGGGTTTGGACGCGCGTAGATGTTTCGCTCATGCGGCAACGCCAAGCCCGTGCCGCCGACGCCAAGGAAGACGGCAAGGGCGAGGGTGTGGCCGGCAACACTGAGTCTGGGGCCATTAGCCCTGAAGAGCACGGCGCTGAATTCGCCAGCAACGCCGATCGCGTCATGGGGCTTGCGCGGCTGCAGCGGAAGCTTTTGGCGCATGCCCTACTCTCCTTTGACAATTGCCGCACTGTTGTGTACTCCACCTGCTCCGTGCACGAGGAGGAGAACGAGTGTGTGGTGCGGCAGGTGCTAGAGGACGCGCGGGTGCAGGCGCGTGGCTGGACGCTGAGCAGCATCATGCCGACCACGTGGAACACGCGCGGGCACAAGTGCGAGGGCGACGCGTTTCCGCTGGACCACACCATCCGCTGCGACCCCGTCGCCGACGCCACCAACGGTTTTTACGTGGCCCGCTTCGATCGCACCGTTTAAAAACTCGAAGAAAGAAATTGGGAGAAAGAAAAAGTGGGGGCAGGGGAAGCAAAAAAGCAAAACAAAAAAAGACTGTTGCCAACGACACTGATTAAACCCCCACGTGTAACCGAAAAGTTTTTGTGTCCCCCGCTCACATCCGCTTCTCCTTGTCCTGTGGGAAGTGAGGGTGCAGGTAAAGAAGACGCCTCCGGAGCCCGTGTATTTCCCGCGCCTTCTTCCTTTTCTTATTTCTCTCTTTTCCACGTGCCCCTCCTGCGGCAACGAAAGAAACACTGTAAAAGGAAAAAAAGGGCAAGAGCACAACAGAGCAGAAGGGCACGCACCGGTAGTTGAACCGCGACACACGCAGAGAAGCAAAAAGGGAAGCACAGAAAGGGGAGTGGGTTGCGACGTTAAGAGGTCGCGTCACGAGGCGAAAAGGGGAGTGTGGAATACGTTGAAAACTCCTCCCAAAAAAAAGGAAAGGGAAAAGAAATAATCAAGTGGGAAGGAAAGGGAGAACCGGAGGCAACGGCTCTGAGGAGAAGGAGAGAAGAAGAATAAAAGCGAGGAGGTCTGCACGAAGGAGGAATCAACTTCACGCGGAGTGGAAAACAAAAAGAAACATGGTCGTTGGTCTCTCATCTTCCAAAGGTGTCCTGGCTCTACTAAGTGAGAGTGACCCAGATGTACTCCGGTTTGCACTCAAGCGTCTGCGGGAGCTGGTGGACACCTACTGGTATGAGATCAGCCCCGATCTCCCGTTGATTGAGGAACTTCACGAGTCAAGTGATCTCTCCGAGGATACTCGAATGCTTGCAGCGCTTGTCGCCTCTAACGTGCATTTTCACCTTGGCGCTTACAATGACTCTGTGCACTTTGCTCTCGAGGCGGGAACCGCCTTCAACTATGTGGAACGCTCACTCTTCACCGACACCATTCTAAGTTGCTGCATTGATCAGTTCGTGCAGTATCAGGAGCAGCCGGAGGAGACGCGTGGAAAGCTTGATCCTCGCCTGGACAACCTCTTTACGGCCCTGACCAACAAGTGGATCCTGCAGGAAGGGACACCCGTGCGGGAACTGGTCGGTTTCACCATTCGTGCCCGCCGCCTTGATTTCCTGGAGAAGGTCCTTCGCCAAGAAATTGCTCTCACAAAGTCGGCTGCCATTCTTAACTACACCTTTGACTTGGCCAGTGTCCTGCTTCGGGATATTGGCTTCAGGCGGAAAATACTGCGTCTGTTGTCGGAGCTGTACGCCCAGGGGGGTCTGAGCACCATTGACTACTTCTCCCGGGCACAGTGTCTCCTCTTCCTGGGTGACTCGGCGTCCACGACGAAGCTCATAGCTGATTTGATGCAATCCGGTGACAAGGCGACAGCCTACCAACTTGCATTCGACCTGTACGAACATGGAAACCAAGAATTTCTCTCTGCAGTTGTGGCTGCAGTTGAAAAGGAGTCGGCGGAGGCACATCCGGCCTTGACCTCGTCACCATCGCAGAATGAGGGAGAAACCACTTCGGCAAAGGAAGTAGATGACAAAAACCTCTCCGACCCACAACAAAAACTCCTCGCCGTTCTTACAGGAGAAACTTCTGCTTCTTTTTACCTGAAATTCCTATATGCTCAATGCAATGCGGACATACACATTCTCAACCACATCAAACAGTCTATTGATTCCAAAAAATCTGTGCCACACAACGCCACTGTGATTGCCCATGCTCTTATGTACACTGGAACTACCATCGATGCGTTTCTTCGAGGTAATATGGATTGGTTATCTCGAGCAAATTATTGGGCAAAATTTGTTGTTACGGCCTCCATTGGTGCCATTCACCGGGGTCACATTGATGAAGGACTCACTGTGGTGGAGCCGTATCTACCAAAGGAAAGTGTGGGTATGTTGCCATACCAAGAAGCAGGCGCCCTCTATGCATTAGGACTTATTCATGCCCCTGTTGTTGTGACTAGAAACCTTAAAATGATTGACTACCTTAAAAATGCACTAAGAAAGTACAGTACCAGTGAGCAAATAATTCACGGTGCCTCGTTAGGCATTGGTCTTGCGGCAATGGGACTGAAAGATGAAGAGCTTTTTGATTCTCTTTTTGCCTGTGTAAGTGGTTGTGATGCCGTCGCAAGTGAGGGTGCGGCTCTTGGCATCGGATTGCTTATGATGGGAAGCGGGAACCGAGGCGCTATTCAGAGTATGCGAACCCTGGCAGCTGAGGATAACCAGAAGGAGAAGACTATCCGAGGCATTTCCATGGCGGTAGCACTCATGATGCTTGGTCGCGAAGATGAGTGTTGGGGAGTGGCGAATGAACTTCTGGAGGATTCCGATCCATGGGTGCGGTTAGGGGGTTGTTTCATGCTGGGTCTTGGGTATGCCGGGGCGGAAAATACAAAGGTTCTCGAACGTTTGTTGAGCGTGGCAGTCAAGGACACCTCGGACGACGTTAGGCGCAATGCCACCACTATGATTGGGTTTCTCACTATAAAAGACCCCGCGCTCTGTTTAGAGCTCACCCGTGTCCTGGTTGACAGTTACAATCCACATATCCGCTACGGTGTGGGTATGGCATTGGCGGTGGCAGCCGCAGGAACGGGCGATAACGCCGTCATTGAAGTGCTTTGGACGTTGAAGGACGACTTGGTGGATTTTGTTCGGCAAGGCGCGTACATCGCGCTCTCCATCGTCTTGGTGCAGGTGACCGCGACGGAGAACCCCAAGGTGAAGGAGTTTCGTGACATTCTCAGCAAAAAGATTGCCGGTCGCAAGGAGGACATGTGCTCAAAATTTGGAAGCATTATCGCAACCGGTCTCTTGGACGCAGGGGGTCGTAATTGCACCTTCGCGCTGCACCGCCAACGTCATCGCCTGGACAAGGCCGTGGTCGGCATGTTTGTGTTCCTGCAACACTGGTACTGGTTCCCCTATCTGCTGATGATTACACTGGCGATGCGGCCGACCTGTTTCATCGGCCTTAATGACAACTTAGATGTCCCGGAGTACAGGTTAAAATCAAATGCGCCACCGAGCCGCTTTGCGCTTCCCAAGAGCGTTCTTGCTGAGAAGAAGGAGGCCAGGGCTGCCGCTGTGAAGGCGGTCGTTCTCTCCACCACAAAGCGGGAGGAACAGTTTAACCGGCTGAAGCGGATGAGCAGCACCGGCAAAGCACTCGACGTTGCGGAGGCCGCAGCGGCGGCAAAAGGTGCCTCTGCCGCCGAACCAGCACTCACACCGTTGGGTGCGGAGACGGAGAAGAAGAAGGAGCCGGAGCCGACCTTCGAAATTCTGAAAAACCCGAGTCGTGTGACGGCACGACAGTTCGCCGTCATCTCGCACGATGTCGATGGACGTTACGTGCCGCTTAAACCCAACCCAACGGGTATCTGTCTGCTGCGCGATACTAAGCCATCCGACGGAAAGCAGAAGATTGTGAGTGACGTGGGTTGGAATAGCGCCGACGATGCGCCGCCGCCCGAGCCGTTTACTTGGCCCTAAACCAAGCAAGAAAAGAAGGACAGAAGGGGGGAGACAAACAAACAAAAAAAAAGGGTGAACGGTGGGCTCAAGCGAGAACAGCAAAAGAAGAAACTGCTGGGATGAGAGAGGGAGAGGCGGAAGAAGAATGAAAAAGGCATGAGTAGGGAATGTATTTGGACGGGATCGACGTGTTATTTGTTTATGTTTATTGATTTACGTTGTTGGTTGTGCTAATGGGCGTGGGCGTGGGCGTGGGCACATGTGTGTGTGTGTGTGTGTGCGCACGCTTCACCGGATGCCAGCAAGAAGTCCCAGAGCGTTGGAAAGGAAAACTGCTCTTGTTTTCCTTTTGTTTTTCCGTACTGCTACTTCTCTTCGTGTGTGTGTGCGTGTGTGTGTTGGATGAATATTACTGCCTGTGGGTTACAAAGGGAGGGAAAAAATGTGACTGTAGACCCAATGAGGCAAACTACGTTCGGAAGGCAATGCATATATATATATATATATGCAGGTGCGAAATACTTCTCGGGCCTTCTTTGAAAAGGGTGTTGCATTGGCCGGCCACAATCCTCGCTGAATAGGACTGTATTCCCTTGCACTCACTCCCCTTCCTGCTCCAATACCGATGGTCTGCATGCCTCTCTGCGTGAGTAGGGTGCATGCTAATGTGTGACTGCGGCAAACGTTTTCTCCATTTTTTACTAGAAACACAAGGGGGTCTGTGGGGGAAGAAGAAGTCACACTGAATGAATCTGCAGTTTAACTGGGACCGTCTCGACGTCACGGCTGCCGAGGCGATTCGGGCACTAGTGAATGCTAGATTGGAGGAGGAGCTTTGGCGGCGCGCCACACTCGCAGAGGATGCTGACTCCCCCGCGGGACGCGGCTCCACTCGTGTCGAGACGCTTCGTGTCACAGGCATTGAATGGGGCATTGTGCCTCCATTCATTGAGATTCTAGAACTTGACGACGCGCAAGACTTTAGCAGGGCGAGTTCCACCACGCATGACCCTGTCCACGGCCGCCCGGAAGCGGTGTCGCACTGCGCCCCCTTCCGTCTCTCTTCTTCGGTTTCCTCACAGCACGGCTGCGAGTACGCAAGTGAAGTGGACTCCTTGGTGGGTGCGTGTTCTGCTTCGTCTGCGACGAAGCGAATGCCTGGAACATGGTTGGGCGGTAGTCTTTCACAAAACAACTCCCCTCCTGCTCAAGCTAAGGATGCGCTTGCCCCATTCATTGGTCCAGGGGGACTTTACGTCTCTCTGCATGTTACGTATGGTGGCTCCATGCGGCTGTTGTTGTCATGTGTGCTGCGTCACGACATTCCCCTTGGCCCTATTAGTTTGCCTGTGCGCATGCCGATAACTCTCCTCGTGTCGAAGCTGGATATGGATTTTTATCTCTCCATCAACCTTCACCGCAACAACTGCCGTGTTTGGATGGAGCCGGGGAAGCTCTCAACCTCACCCATAACGCGAATGAACATTAAGGCCGTATTTGGGGAACGGCAGGGAGGAGCGTCAGGTTCACCGGGCCACGCGGATGGGGTTCCATCGGTGGGAGAAGACGTGGAGGCATCCGACGCGTGGACGCAGGTGACTAGCAGCCATCTTGGCTCGGAGGAGGACGATGCGGTGTTCACGGAGGAGAGTGTCATCTCGCAGTTCGTTTTAAGCGAAATTCGTGCAATTCTGCAGGAGAAAATTATATACCCTCATTTTGTGGAGCTCCCTCTGTTTCTCTGACGACTCCTTGCCAATTTATTTGTCAGTTGCCGTTATTATTCTTCGGCTTTCCTCAACTGGGGCAGCGTGGCCCGTTTGACACGCAACTGTGCGAAGGATTCACACCCCCATTGCTGTCGCTGATGTGTGTGTGTGTCGTCTCTATCTCTTCCTCGTGTACCTTTGCCCCCCCCCCCCTTTTTTTTTTTTTGTTTTCCTCACCTTTGTTACTCCTTTTCTGCCTGCTTTTTGGGAGGGGGCAAATATTCTTTGCGAGGGCAGAAACTTCATCTAGACAGCAAATTGGAGAAAGAGCGGAGCTCTTTGCGTCTCTCTCTGTCTCTGACGGCGTCGGGCAGACATACATATATATATATACTCATATATATTCATATATACATACTCGTATATATTAGAAGGCAGCATGTCACGGCAAGGGGTGTCGCTTTCCGAGGGTTTAGGCTCAGAGGCCGTGCAGTCACGATCGTCACGGCCAGACAGTCGCGGCGCAAGACGGCGGCCCTCCACTGCTTCCGTTACCTCTTCGATTGGGTTTTCCGTGGCCAGTGGGGACGGCAGAAGCAACCGCAAGACCCGCGCAGGGCCTGCCTCAACACCCGTATCTTTTCTGACGCCAAAAAATGAGAGCCTTCACTTCTCACCTAAGAGAGGCCGCTTGAAACCTACAGGGTCACAGACCAGTGTGTACAGCAATTCCGTATGTAGTTCCGTAGAATCGCCGCTGCAGCGCCGACTCAACTCGGTAAGAATGAAGGTTGGTCTCGCTGAGGCCATTTTGCAGAATGCATCTAACACCGCCAAGGCGCCCATGTCACCAGCGCGGCGTCGAAGACACATGGTGCAGTTGGAAGTGGCAAAGCTCATTCTCTTCGCAGCGCGGCAGCAAAATGTCCGTGAGGAGATGCAGCGACTAGGGCACCCCTTGGATGAGTCAGACACAATTATGTACCATCGCCGTTCCATTGTTAGTGATATTCCTTTTCTCGCGAGGGAGTCTCCGCCCGACGTGTCACTAGACGAACTGAAGCGAGTCACGTTTGTAATGGAGCAGCAGCTAGCGGAGGCGAAGGCGACCAAACCACAGCCGCCACCGTCTATCTCTGCCGACCGCGTGTCGTCAAATATGTCGGAGCTTCTTTGGCTCATTGAATCAATGGAGCTGCAGGGGCCATGCGCACAGTACGCGAATTTGGGCGATGATTCCTCCAGTCCCAATGCCACCTCCACCTCCGCCGTTGTGGCGGCGATGACGGAAACCCTGCAGCTGCGTCAAGAGGAGCAGCAACCAGCACATCAGCAAAAACAGAGGGAGTCATTTTCGCAGTTACGAACCCCGGAGTCCTCTTTAAAGGCTACGGGGGAAAGTTTTTCACCCTCGCTGGTGGCACCAGGTACGAATCTGCTGGAGTTAACACGCCTCAGCGGCGACATGACAACAGTGCAAGGGCAGGAGGATACAAAGGCGGATGAACTCGTTGGATTCTCCGTAGAGGTGGAGTCTCCTGGATGCCGCGCCGTGGAGGCAGCAGGCTTGAAACTGCTTCAGTTCATGTATGACGCTATCGATGCCAGTGAAGAAGAGTTTCAGCTGATGAAGGAAAAGGACGCCGGAGCTGAAGCAGCAGCGGAGGCCAGGAGGAAGACGCAGGACGGACAAGAAATACTGCCATGCCTGAGCGCCGCAGGGACGGACGTTCGTGAAGCGCATCGCTTTTCCACGCTGCGTGACTCAACGGCGCGAAACTCTGACATGGTTCAGCAGCTCCAATCCGCGACAAGCAGAGACCCCGGCACACTCGCCACCGCCCCGGCAGAGGAGTCCGAGGATCAAGCACTAACGCAGGGCACAACAAACTTTGGACAAGAGTCCTCCTCTTCCAGGCGGCAATCGGCGGGCTTCGAAGTTCCAGCGACCAATTCATGGTTGGAGCCGGCCCATCCCGCAGTGGAGGTGCGTCCCCTGCGGGTTGATCTCTTTGAAATCCTGCAGCAGCTTTACTATAGTTTTAACTACAATTATTACTTTAGACAGTGCAAAGAGAAGAAGCAGAGTAAAAGGCAAAAAACGCAGGAGGAGTACAGTGAAGAGGTGGCACGACTATTGGCTGAAAAAAAGAATGCACGACAACAACACGGAAACGACTCTCTGAATGACGAAGCTGCATTGCTCTCAACGTGGCAAGTAAAAACATCGGCAAGAACTCCAACACCGCGGAGTCAGAAGTCAATTGGCACGGCACTTGAAGTTACCGCAGAGTTGCTAGAGAAGAGCTCCATGACGGCAGTTACGGAGGTGGCTCCGCCGGAGGTGCCCCGTGAAGAGGCCGCGGTTCCAACTGAGTCCGTAGGCGCATACGATGAATCAATAGTGTTTTCAATGGAGATCGGCAAAGGTATCCTGTTCCTGCTAAAGGGGCGGGGGCAGCGGCGGGGCGTCACTGGATCACTGAGTTCAACAACGGGGAAGAAGAAGACGAAGAAGAAGGGGCCAAAGAAGCAGGGAACTGCCGCGGACAAGGAGGCCAGTGATACAACAGAGGACGCAACAGCGAAGGAAAAGAGCCGGCTAGATTTTGAAAGTTACACCTTGTACGCTATCAATCAGTCCGACACCCCACAGCAGGCGACCGTGGAGACAAATGTATCAAAACTAAAAAACCTCAAGATAAAGTCACTACTCAACTACCTGGTCAAGAATAAAACAATTGCGGTGGATTTGCCCCCTTTTGGCACCCAGTCGGTGTTGACACTGAATCCCATAAAAAAAGGACGCGAAGTAGTATTTGATGGGGCGCTGAACTTTCACGAAGGGGCCCCAGTTAAAGAGGAACCGCAAGCAAAAGGGGTTATGGACAAGAAACACTCATCACGGTTACCCTCTGTTTCCAGGCCATCGAAGATTACTCCCTCAGCCGCATCCAAAGCGTCAAAGGAATCGTTAGATAATAGCGTTGAGACGCAATTGAAGGAGAGACTCCTTGCTCAATCTGAGCAAGGGGAAAAGGAAGCAGTAACGGAAGAGGATGAGCTCCCCGAGGAGGCGGCAGGCGCAACGGAACCACCAGTACAAGGAAACAAGACGGCGGATCAGAAGCAGGACACGGCAGTTGGTATTCGGCGTGAATTGTCCAGACAGAAGTTTAATCCTCTGTTGTTAAGACCCATTAAAGGCACCGAGGATCTTGAATCCGGAATGAATTCTCCTGCTGGGAGTAGTTTGTCGGGAGATAATGTCGTGATGAATAAGGTGAATGAGTGGGGCGTCAGTGTCATTCCAGTCGAAGGAGACTTGGGGGAACAGCAAGAAGAAGCCAGACGGCGGAAGAGTGCCATGAATGCTACCCAGACAAGGCCCAAGGAAGCCGCAACGACTGTCAAGGGAAGGGCATCAATAACTACCAAGGAACCCACGAAAGGAGGTGAAACAGGGCCTGAAATTAGAAAGGGTCGAGTGAGTGAAGCAGCTAGCGATTTGGCAGGCGTAACTCGAGTAGGTGAATGGGGAGTTGCTCATCCAAATGAAGATGATGAAGCATTTGAAAATAATTGTGTGGTATTATCAGTATTGCAGGCATCTGAGTGGCAAGCTCCTTCGACATCGTGGAGGCGTCCTTCTGAGAAGAGTCCTTTTCTTCCAAAGGTGGTAAGTGGTGAAACGAAAGCGACGAACGAGGCGGAAAAAGCTCTTGCTGGGAGAGGGAGGGGTAGTGTGGAGGGTGCTACTCCTGCCTACTCTGCTTCCAGCTCCGCGTCACAGCGGTATCCGAGTGCGCGGCTCCGTCCGAGAGGGAGTACAGAGGAGGAACTAATTGCGGCAGTGCTGCACTCTGCTGGTCAAGAAGAGTCCTCGCAGGCGGATGAGTTTGTGGCTGGTATTCTTAATCGCATTGCAGACGAGGAACTGTTAGGGACTGATCGCCAACTGGAAAAGGACGGCTTTTCTGTTTCTAAGCAAAGTGATGAAACCCCGCTGCGCGCTGGGTCAGCAGCGTTGTGGCGCCACCAGAGCGTATCTCAATCACAACAAGGCCGAGCATCTCTGGAACCGCAGGGTGAAGTGAAGGAGCAACTCTCGCCAGCAACACCGGGGTACGGGGCGGCGTTCCCGTTGGGATCATTCACCGAAGCCCAAAAGTTGCGGAGTATCTCTGCTTCAGCTGCGTTGCAGGACAGTGTTGATAGCAAGGAAAGGGCATTCATCAACAGAGCAGTTTTTCCTGAGAAGGTGTCTTCAGGGAATTTCTCTGCAGCTGTTGATTTCTCGCAGCAACCAAGCGTCGAGCTGGTGAGGGAGTCTTCAGCTCAACCTGTAGCCTTGGACGGTCGCTTTTCATCCTTTGCAGCCATGGGTGAATCTTCCGTCCCTGTGTACTATTGTGAGGAATGCCTCGCGGCTCATCCTCACGACCATGCTGTTTCCCCCACACCAGACGCCATCAAAGCCAGAGAGGATGCACGTACTCCCACGGAAATCGCCTCCTTGGTGGAGCGACGGAGCCGCATGGAGAGCAAAGGGGCGATTTCCGTTGCGGAGTTGTTGCGGGCGAAGTCAGCTGTTTCAGCAACCCGGGAGGATGCTGCGTTTAATGTAAATGCGCTGTTGGCGGGTGTCAGCAAGGCAAAAAAGAGTGAAACGCCTCCACCTGGGCCCCCGAGTCGCCACAGCGCATGGGACTATGAAATTCCTCCGCAAGAGAGGCCCGCCACCCCCACGCGCCAATATGCATACACAGATGTTCGACCAGGTGGAAGAGTCGCAATTCTTGTTCCTGAAGCTATGGACACTGTGGGACCGACGCCGCTTCTTAGCAGCATGCAAAAAGGAAAGACGGAAGGAAAGTCATTGCAGGCAGAAGGGGTCGCGGAGGAGATCCGCATATCTCTGCATAGTTTTGCGCGTCAAGCCAGGTCTCACAGTAACCGGATTCCCATCTCTCAGTCTACCAACACAACTGCAACTGCGACGGCGGCAGTCACGAAAAATACGAAGTTTGATGGCATGCGCTACGCGGAACTTCCACCGCTTTCTGCTCTTTACAGCCATGAAGTGGCTCAAGAAGTAGAAGACTTGGAAGCGGGGGAGGAAGAGGCAAAGGCGCTTTTTATGCAGGACCCTGCTCGCTACGACTGCGTTGTTGATGAGCTCATCAAGCGCGCCACAATGAGGGTTCAGGAGGAGGAAAAACGAGAAAAAGTTAGAAGAGAGACCGTGACGCGTGTCATGGGTGATAGCAAGCTGGACGAGAGGTTGGTTGTTGCGTCTAATCGAAGGCAGAGTCACGCCATAACCCATCGCCAAGTATCTGTGACGGAGTTACAATTCGGTGGCTCCTTCCCCATTGGAACTAGTAGTGGTAGTACGGGTCCAAGTGCACGAGAAGTGGGGGGGGTGTCTCAGGCGTGGAGTTTGACCAACGAGAGTCTGCTGTCACTCCCCTCTGGAAAGCAACACGGCGATACCATGAAGAGTGGCGTTACGAATGGGTTTGACCAAATTCTAGAGGAGCAGCGTCGCGCAAAGAAAATTGTGGCCTATATTCTTATGGAGATGCGCCGCATGTGGCGGCGGCGGGAGTTAGAGTCCAACCTTGCCCTCCGTTCCGCCGTGGACCGCTTTATTTATCGCTCCGTTCTCTTCTCATGGCATTTTGAGAGACGTCGTGTGCTCAATTTGCAGAAGCTTATCCAACTCCTGGACCGCAAAACCGGCCGCGTGGGCGGGTGGATTCCCTTCTACGTGAGGGATCGCGTCATGGAGGAACGATTTGTTTGGGAGCCCGCACCACCGCATCTCTCGCGTCAGCTGCGCGTTGTTCATCGGGCAATGTGTCTTGCCAAACAGCAACGGATGTATCCACTTCGTATCGTGCGGCAGCAAGCTCGCAAAGAAGCGTCGCACCATCTACTGTACGGTTACAAGCGTACATTCGTGGGGCCGTTCACGACTTCTGCTGTGCGCCTCCGTCAGGGGCGACGCTCTCGCTACGCCGCGCCGTTTCAGCGTCCCATTCTGCGTTTTTCTCCGCAGCTTGAGTGGAGGGACGGAACACCGAGGAAGTGAAGCAAGTGTTAGTCTAAGCAGCGGTAGCCCTATTAGTAGTGGTTGACTTGCACATGCTAGTCTAATCAAATATGTATATGTATATAGGTGCACACCTATGCGCTTATGGTTATTGATGTAGCTTTATTGTGGCCTTCTCCAAGAAATTGCGCTATGTAAAAGAAGTTTAAAAATAGTAATGAACTGGCTTTGGGTAATACAGCCGAAAAACTAAAATAAAACAGAAGAAATGATGCCAAGGCAACGAAGAAATGTTTGGAACCAGGGTCTTGTGTGATGCATCTAAGTATGTGCGTTTCCCCCCACCCCCACCCGTTGCTTACTTTTATTTTATTTTGCATTTTGCTCCAACCTCCTTTGAGGCGGCTGCTCATTTTATGTGTGTGGTGTTGTGTTTGTTGCCGTTATTTCGTTTCCTGCAGAGTGTGCAGTGGCGGGGCATGTCTGCTTCTCTATCTCTCTTTCTATCTCTATCTTTTGCTCTTTTGCACTTTAAAGCCACCGAATTTATTTTTTTTTGCTCGCTTCTTTTTCCCGCCGCTTCTGTGCGAGCTTCCCACGCACTGACGTACTCTGTGGGACTGGCCCGGCAATGGCTGTAGGGTGCCCATCGATGTGTGTCTGTGCCCATTGGCTGCTGTCGACGCTTCTTTTCCTGATGCTTGGCAGTCCGCCTGCTGAAGGCCTCAAGGGCACCATGGAGGAGGCTACTCCAGGGTATGGTGAGCGGGCAACGCTGACGCCCCCGACGCTGCATGCAAGCCCCATCTTGAGTGAAGCCCGCCACCCAACGCCTACGGCGGCGTTGGGTACCTCGGCCACGCGCAAGCTCACTGTCTCCCTGTCATCCGTGTCAAACGCCCTTGTGACCCCTGTCTTCAATGGCTCCCTCTCGCCATCGTTGTCAGCGAGTCAGTCGCCGCAGCTCTCCCCTACCTGTTCGCCAACCCCGTCGCTGGAAGAGATACCAGACAACATGTACACACGAACGGAGAGTTGTGGACTTCCGGCTGTAAACAAATGTGCAGAGAATTTCTGCGACTGCATCTCGCGTGAACACTCACGGACCACCAATGAGTCGTGGTATTTTAAGAACGGGGCGTATCGCTGCCGACAATCTGCAAACACAAATTGTTACTATCATCTTTACTGTGCGAGAGAGCGAGTGTCATGCTTGTGGAGTGCTGCCATTTGGTACAAGGAGGATCCTAACGCAGTACTTGCGCTCGGTGGCTTAACGGGTTTGACTCAAGGCTCTTTCGGTGACGAGGGCTGCATAGGATTAGAAAATATATACGGCAACTTCTCTCGGCTCGCGCAAAACACGAACTACTACGATTCCATCTTTTATAGTGAGTGTGTAGACTATGTAAAGTTTATTCTGCAACGTACGGGTGGGGATATTTGTACGACAAGTATTGTTCCCATGTACGTCTGTGGGGCGTCACTTTTTCCGCTTCCGCCCACAAGACCAATTCATTATTCTCCATTAAGTAAAGGAGCTCGGCGACTTGTTATTTCAATTGTGGCAAGAATTGTAGGCAACTTCACCCCTGTGTTTGCCCCGGCGTGGAATAGAAATGATGAAAAGCACCAGCTGGGTAGAGAGTATTTGAGTCAGGCCATGTACCGCTGTTTCCAGAACGTGATTGGCATCGACGGTGTGTTCTCTATGATGCACGCAGATGATTGCCTCGTTGTCAGGTATGAGGTGGGCGTGGGGGAGGCTGATCCGTGGGTGGGTGACTTAGTGACGGCAAATGCGCTCAATCTGATGGTGCGCAACGCCTCCTGGATGGACCCCGCGCAACGCGTGATTAACAACCTCACGGATTCCGTGAATCTTAGCGCACCGATTGTGGTGTATGATGTGAACTTTGAGCCTGGGCAGGGTCAGCCGGAGGCCAAACTGTGCGATGCTGGCTGCGCGGTTGCGCTCGCGTTGGTCTTTTTCTTGACTCTCATTGCATTCATTTTTTCAGTTGTATTTTGTTGTAGACGTCCTCGGCAACTGTATACCATATTTGAACGCAACTACGATTCCGAGGAAGAGCTGGAAAACGTGACGGGCCGAAGAGAAATTAGAGACAAAAGGAAATAATTCTACGGGCGTCCTCGGTATGTGATTTACAGCGTATTTGTAGGGAAGAGAGTGTGCGAACGAAAAGTATTGGGACATCGCCAGAGCACCGTCTCCTGTCTGAAAAGGTGGCGAAGCAAAGCTCAGTTACACGGAGCCATATGTTTCTCTGGACACCCTAGTTGTGCTTGTTTTTTTTTGTTCTGTGCCTTTCTGTCTGTTGTTATTTTGCTGGTCTTTTTCGTTACCACTCGTTGCTTTGCTTTAGTGGACGTGACTGCGTGTGACGCGACCGGCTTCTGTGTGTCTATGCGTGTGTGTGTGAAGGGGTGGGTGGGTGGGTGGGTGGGGGAACTAGTGAGGGGTTGACGGGGCGGCTGACTGCTCCTTGCATGCATTTTTTCAATTGACTTTTCTCTTCCGGATTATTCATTATTTTTTTTCTGCTTGCTGTTACCTCTTCTTTTTCTGTATTTAGCGAAAGCACACGCCCTGGAGAGATTTTTTTCCCTTTGCCGGAGGGAAGGGTTGGCTCCGCCGCTGTTTGAGTCTCGTGCGGAACGCGCTTCTCTCTCTCTCTCTCGCTCTTGCTCTCGCTCTCTGTGTCATGCAGCATCCACCGTTTTGAGAGGCAACTCGCCCCCTCAAGGCAGTAAGAAGTTGGCGGGGGGATGGGATGTAAGCAGAGCGGCCTCCGGATCTCCCCGCAGGGGCTGTCGCAGGGACAGTTGGCTGTGGGGCAGAAGCCAGGCGGCGGAGCCAGCGTAAAGCCGGGGAACGGTGTAGATCCAAAAGGCGGGCATGTGGCAGGTGTAGGTGTAGGTGGTGCCGCAATTGTGGAGAGTCTGCAACGCGAGCCGTCACAGAAGAGTGAGGCGCCTTCCCGCGTGCCTCCGCCGGTGCCCCCAGACTCGTGGTATGCGCGGGAGTTGACGGAGGTGACCAGGATGTCCCCCACGGAGTTTCACATGAAACAACGGGGCAACGTTGTCTTTTCAAGCGTCTACATTCCTGTGGGGGTCTCTGAGTTGGAGCAACTTCCCGGGCGCGCCCCAGTGATGCCAGCAACACTGGAGATCGGGAAAGACCTTGTGTACGGCATGGCGTATCTCTACAACACCCCACTCTTCACGGAGCATCAGTGGCGTATGCGTGTGGCCCATTACCTGGCGGCCGTCAAGCAGGCTGGACAGGGGCAGGAGCCAGCGAGGATGCAGCGGGGTGAAGGAGAAACACAAGACGCGGGTGAAGAGCGGCGAACTGCGGCGTTAGAGGGGTGTGAGCCGCCTCGCTTAAAGGAGGTGGCGAAGTCAATTTACGGGCGACCGAGCATTAACACCTTAGTGGGCATACGCGTCTTTGTCGACGGCAACCTCGTGCCGGACTACAACCCCATGGCCAGGAGCATTCCAAACTGCACAGCCACGGTAGACACTGGCGAGGCTTTCAACAACTGGATTTGCGTCCCCATAGTACTGGTGGGGTACCTGAACAACTTTCTGCTAAGCACCATCACCTTGTACAGGTCCCTTTCGCTCAACTTTGTAGACTACATGCTGCGCCAACCCCTCGCCTCCGCTGGCGCTAGCCCCACGGAGGCCGAGCATGGCGGCTCTGACGGGGCGGAAGACCGCCGTGACGACGGTTTGAGTCGAACGTTTGAAATTAGTGTCGAGGTGGTCTATGGGTGCCTTTCCGAGCTAAACTTCTGCACGGATTATATATCAAAGGGTAAAGTACAACTTGTCATGACAAGAAAATCCCATGTAGCCTTGAAATCGTACGAGAAAAAGCTGCGCAAGTTGGTTCTTGGTAGTCCTCTCTCGCGCGAGCAGGTTGTTCCGATGGACCGATTGGAAATAGTCGCGCAGCACCATTCGTCGCGTAATTGTCTCTTTTGTAGAGCCCCGTTGCGCTACACATGCACCATATGCGGAGCACAGCTCTGCGGCACGGTCATGTGTGTTTGGCGCCCCTTTTCTGGCTATCCGAATGGGTGTTCTGTTCATAAGGCACAGGTATAAAATGTAAGGCCCCGTACTAACGCGCTTTAGGCGTGGATTTCCCTTTCTTTCTCTCTATCCCCCTCTTTTATCTGTGTGTGGAGAGAACACTTTCTTGTTCACTCGTCTCCAGCACCTTAAATAGGGGGGGGGGAAGTGTTTTTTTTTCTTTACCTCCCTCGGCCTCCTCACTGAAGATGAGGCAACACTCCTGCTCTCGTCTCATTGGAGATGAGGGACATGTGGGGTATTCGCTCAACAATGGCGTGGGATGCAGAAAAAGGATGGGCGGTACCGGAGAGGAAGGAAGGCATGTGGTGTGAAATCGCTTATGATTTATACTGCTCTCCAGTTCCAGTATCGTTGCACTCTTCTTTTTATTATTATTATTACTTGCATATGCTCACGTGCAGGTACGAGGTCTACTGAGGAGCGAGTGTAGGGCGGCTTTAAAAAATATATATATATATATATATCGTTCTCTTTGTCAGGACCGTGACATAGTATAGCCTACAGAAGGAAAGGGTAAGGAAATAGAAGTAGAGATATATGATTTCAAAGCTGTTTCGCCTGGACACGCAGCGCCGCGAGAAGCATGAAATAACCCCTCACGATATAAAAATGCTGCGGGAGATGGCTGCGACACACAACATCACCTCCGTGGAGGTTCCAAGGTATAGGGTGCGAGGGAACTTCGTGGAGTACGTGGTTGAGTGCTCCGAGAGAAACTTGACATGGCAGGTATTTCGCCGCTATCAACAATTCAAGTTGCTTGACCAGAAGCTGAAGCAGTTGTGTTCAATGGGTTCCCAGTACCACTGTGAATACGGTGTTCTCCCTGTGCTTACCGGTAGTCACTGGGCAGAAGTGACAAATCAATCTGTCGACCTTGTGGAGAAGCGTCGTCGACACCTTGAGATTTATCTCGAACAGCTGCTTGTCCCAAAGAACCTGTTTTATGTGGCTAACACAGCTCTGTACAACTTTCTCCACGACGGGGAGGTGCCGGTGCGGTCTAGGACAAATGTACTGCGTCCTCTCATCGGCTTTGCAAAACCAGAGCCATCGCAGCAGCAGCCGCAGGAGGAGAGGGGGGACGGAATTGCCGCGTCGGAGGAAGCGCCCCCGAAGCCGTTAGACACTGGCGCCGCGGTTGGTAGTGCGGGTGGCGACCCCTCCGTGCCAACTACCACAAATTGCGCCGCATCGGAGAGAGGGATCTCCAATTCCGTGGATTCGTCCATGACGAATGCCTCGAGTGGCCCTGAGGAATGTGATGACGTTCCATCGAAGGAGGAAACCGACACCGAAGACATCAACATGCCGCCGGCCTCATCTTTGTGCTTGCAGTGTAACGCCGAGTTTTCCTCCATGTTGTACCCGCACCGCTGCTTTTTGTGCAAACAACGTTTTTGTCGAAACTGTTTGCGCCATGTGGAGCTTGAGGAAGGGGCTGTCAGGGTGTGTGTGCAGTGCTACGAGAACCAGGAACGGCACAATAGGAAGATGCGGATGGGAAAGGATTCCTCGCCCACTACGCCAAGTCTGCATCCGCAAGGGGACGTTGCTGCATCGCAACCGCTACACCTTCAGGAAGGGAGTTGCTTGCGGACGGACGTTTCACTGTCTGACTTTGAGCTCGTCACAACGCTTGGCCGCGGCACCTTTGGCAAGGTTATCAAAGTCATCTTTCGTGAAGATGGCCAGGTGTACGCCATGAAAGTTTTGAATAAGTGCATCATTCACAAGCGGCGCATGGTTGACTACATTAGGGAGGAAAAGACTATTCTGGCATCGTTGCCCCCGCATCCGTACATTGTGGCATGCCACTTTGCTTTTCAGACGGATTACCACCTGTTTTTTGTCTTTGACTTCCTTCCTGGCGGGGAACTGTACTCGCGCCTCTACCCAAAATGCACGCTCTCCCCGGCGGACGTGCGCGTGATTGTCGCCGAGATCGTCTTGGCCCTGGAACAACTGCATCGCTACGACATTGTTCACCGCGACCTGAAGCCGGAGAACGTTGTGTTTGCGGCGGACGGTCATTTGAAGCTGACGGACTTTGGACTTGCACGAATGAACTTTTCCCGCCACCGTCGCTGCAGCTTCGTTGGTAGCCCGGAGTACCTCGCCCCTGAAACAATTCGGGGGGAGCGCCAGACCGCTGCGTTAGACTGGTGGAGTTTGGGGGTGATGATGTACGAGATGCTCAAGGGCGCAGCGCCGTTCCACGCGGCGAACAACAATGAGGTCTGCAGTAATGTTCTGAGCCTCGACCTCGATCTCAGCGCGCCGTGCTTTACCCCTGAGGCCGCCTCACTTATCCGGCAGCTCCTGCAACGTCAGCCGAAGCAGCGACTCAGTGATGCGGAGCAGATTAAGGCGCACCCTTACTTTGCATCTCTCAATTGGTCAGCCTTGGAGAAGAAGGCCCTCCCCCCGCCGGTGCGGCTCAACTTCGACGGCAATGACACAAAGTACTTTAAGCGGGAATTTACGGCGGAGTGGGCAGTGATACGTAAGCCGCACGAGGTGAGTCGTGCCACGTTAGATATCTTGAAAACCCGATTTAGCAACTTTGTTCATGTGCCTGATGTGGAATCTGGTGTGTCGTCGTCGTCGTCGCGTTCCTCGTGCCATTCGTCTTGCAGGAAGCCGCCATCGCACCTGCGCTCAATAAAGGAGGATGCCGACGCGGCGCCGAACGCGCAGAAAGTGTTAGGTCTCTGGCGTCTAGTGAAGGTTGAGATGGCGACAGATGACGGTAAAATTAACTACCCGTGGGGCGGCGAAGTGTGCGGCTTCCTCGCGTACTTTCCCAATGGTGTCTTTACCATGCAACTCACTCTGGCCTGTCGGCGGCACATGCGTGCGCAGTTTCCGGAGCGAGCCACCAGGGATGAACTTGTGGACATGTACAACTCCTACGTCGCAAGCTTCGGGAAGTACCAGGTGGGGGCCGAAGGTGGCACCATTGTTCACTGTCCCAGTGGTAGCCTTGCTCCAGGCCCGTCGTGGGGCCAGCAGAAGTACTTCATTGAGGTACTTGCTGGAAAAGCAGAAGGCGGTGTCGCAGTACTGAAACTTTTTACTGCACCATACAAAATTGAGGAAGAAAACTTATTAGCGAGAACTTTTTTGACGTGGGAACGTCTCGAATCATGTTAATTTTTTGTTGTTGTGATGGTCCTTGTTGTGTTTGTTATTGTTGTTATTCTCTTCATGCCAATTGTTTTTTTTTTTTGAGACGCGGGGGCGTTTTGTTGTTGTTGTTTTTTTTTCATATATTATTTCCTTGATTGTTTGTACGCATCGTTCTTTTCTTGGCTCTGTCTTGTAACTTCTTTTTTTTTATGCGTCCGTCGTGCCGGGCGATGTCACCTCTGACCGTTGATCAACGCATTCGACATCATGCCCGGACTACAGCATAAAAGTGCAGTTTGCATAAGTCACCTCACGACCTCCGAAAAAAAAAATTTCGGCGTCTGAGAAGATTTAGCAGCGTGGCATACCGCGTCTCTATAGCTAGTTACATTTGCTACCGACGGCCTTGAAAGACCACTTTTTGTTGTGATTCACGTAATTTACTGCTGTTTCTGCTCTGGGTGTATTGCTTCTTCCGTTTGTCACCGATCAAACCCATTTTTATTTACTTCTCCTCCCCCCTCATTCTCTCCTTCACTGTTGGCGCTTCTGGCTCACGCCTCTCCTCCTGTTGTGCGCCGTCCCCCCGCTCACCTGACGCGGGGAAGCAGAAAATACGAAAAGGAGGGGGAGGCGTAGTTACTCGCCGTGTGATGCGTTGTAGGTCATTGCTGTGTCTCTTGCCGGTGCGGCGACTCACCCCGCTGCGGACTGCCATAAATAGGTCTCCGTTCGGCCCCGTCGTAGTGAGTCTGCGTTGGCACTTGGAGGGGGCGCCGTCGATTGCGGTTTCTGCCTCGTCTGCCTCAAAGCCAGTCATATCAGAGGAGGATCAAAAAGTCGTGCCACGGGTGTACGCGGGCGGCCCGGCTGGTGCAACAGTCGCCTCAACTGAGCCACGTACAGAGCCGAACCATGGAGAGGGGACAGCCGCCACCGGGGCTGCTGCGGCTGGGGGTGTCAATAGTCTGGAGACGCCGGCAAGGCAGCAGCCGTCTGCAGCATCGTCGACCGCCGCGCGTTACGCCCCGTGGGAGATCCGGGCGTTGCTGTTGCCGCTTCTTCCTCTGGGTGGTGCCACTGTCCCTCTTCGCGACGTTGTCCACCTGCTTCCTGCTGCGGCCCGAGAGGAGATGCAGCGCGACGGCGGCAACCCGCTGGCCTACGTGCGACACCACTTCGCTGATGACGTGGTTGTGCGAGGGACCGAGCTCGCCCGGTGCACGGTGGATTTGGACAGCGCCGCTCCACGCGGAAGAGTGAGGCTGTCGGCACCCCCGCCGCCGCCGCCACCTGTCAATATGAGTCGGGCTGCCACACACCGCCCTTCGCAGCTCACGGGCGGTGCGAAGCCTGTTTTGGAAGTCTTGGATACGCTGGTGGAGTTTATTCCAACCTTTTTTGTGCAGCAGCAAATGGTGGCCGATCAGCTGCCATCAGAAATCACAAAGCAGTACGCTGATAGTAGTTTTATGTTTTACATCAAGCGTTTTCGCCACTACATTGACATTCGGGCACATCACGGGAACACCGAAATCCGCCTGCGTCCCGACTTTGCCCACCCAAAGCGCGGCACGGCGGACCCACTCTACACCTCCGGTTTGAGCAACAGTGACATGTTGAGCCAACTGGCGCGGGGACGCCGGCCGCCGCGAAATTCGGAGGCAAATTTAATTCATTTTATTCTGCCGAGGATCCCAAGCACGTACACGCCACTGGCTACAGTACTACAGGATGTGTCTGATATCGTCTCGCGGCATCCGTCCTTTGACCCACGTCTTGGGGTGACGGGTCTGTTTGAGAAGTACCCGGAATATTTTCAACTTGTCGATGCGAAGCTGCGTGTGCGACCGTTGCACAGCGCACCGAACTCGCTGAATGACCTCAATGCAACGACCTCGCCGCTTCCTAAGATTTACGCCAAGGTTAAGCAACTTGTGGACGACAATGCTGAGGGAAAAGACTACAACGTGGCGGCTGACAAGGTAGCGGCGGCGGTGCCAACGGGAAAATTGTATGCATTACTTACCGCCACGGAGAAGAAAGAGGTGAAGACGCAATGTCGTTCGTTTCCGCGTTTTCTGCGGCTGCACGGAGAGGAGATTGTGGTCTCTGTGGATAATATGAAGGTCTACCAATTTCGTCCCACATACGAGCGGTGCGCCGAGACGATTATGGATCAGCGTCTCACCATGAGCTCCCTTGCACCGGACGATCCAGTATTGAAGATCCCTGCCGCAATGGACGACAGCACCTCAGCGGACTGGGCTGTACGGGAGCTGTACGACGCGCTTCCACTCATGCAATGTGCCGAGCTTGACGAGGTCATGTCTCTGGTCCCACCCTCTGTCAAGAACGCCCTTCCACAAGAGCAGGCGAAGCTAGTTGAGCATCTCGCGCTTTACCCTGACTACTTCTCGACTTGGCCGTATCCGGATGACCCAAGCGTTATTGTTGTGCAGCGGGCGAAATTGGAGCCTCTTCCGATGCAGCCAGAGGACATTGCGAGAATGGTGCTGCCGATGATACCACAGGGAGGTATTGAGGTGGCACGACTTCTGCGTCGCGTCCCACTCCCGCTGCAGCGCCACTTCTACCGCCACGGGTTGAAGAAGGTGCTCGCTGAGATGAAGCAATACTTCTTGGTGGCGGGAGAAAAAGTGATGCGGGTTGGATGAGGAAGGTGGCGAGGAGTTTAGTCGTCTCGGTCGGCGCTTTGCGGTTGGGCGGCTGCCGTTGCTCACTGCCGCCCCCTGAAGCGCCAGTGTGGAGTGACGCACACACACACACACACACACACACACAGAGAGAGAGAGAGAGAGGAAGCGGACGGAGTCCGTCTTACCTTTCCTTACCTTTTTTTTGTAAATTGGTCCGAGGGAAAAGGCAGTGGAGTTAAGACTCTAAAGCAAAATTATATATACATATATATTTGTGGTAGCCTTTTCACGTGTTTTGTTTGTTCTCCTTCTTCGTCTGTGTGCGATTGCGCCAACAACCCTCCCACATTGTTCTTCTTCCGTTTATGGTTGTCCCTCACGCTCCGGCGTGTTGGGAGCAGTTGAGAGTACCTCCTCACGCTCTCAGTAGAGAGGCATTTGGCGCCCGCAGCAAGCGGGCCGTCGCCATTAGATTGTATATTTATACTATACTGTAGAGAAGCGGTAAATGTTGCGCAAAAAGGTCCTCGGCGTTGGAGCGTCATCTGCCACGATCCTTGTGCAGGACACCGCTGCAAATGGGGAGTTACGTGTGCTCAAGCGAATTAATGTTTCTTTGTGGAAACCGGCGGATGTAATGGAAACGCACGAGATGTACAAGGCCCTTCTGACAGCACAAATTTCTTCCATGGTTGAATTACACACTGTGATGCTGCAAGGCTCTTTTCTGAACACTGTCACCACTTACTACGCCAGGGGTGACTTAGAGGCTTACTTAGAGGATGGGCCTAAAAGCCCGTTTGACGAGGCCACGGTGTTGCGGTGGTTGCTGGCCATTGCAAGGGCCGTACAACAGGTCCAGCACCTCAAGGATGGTTGTTTTTACGGCCTCTCTCTGAATCGCATCTTTTTTGCGGACGATGCACCGGGAATCCGCGTGGGGCTGCCAATGCCACGTTCGTCGTACTTCAAGTGGCTGTCGGACCGCGAGGCCCTTGGGGTGGCGGTGGAGCGCGAGTACCCGCCAGAGGTGGTGCATGAGCAGAGGTACGTGGCAAAGGTGAGTGATGTCTGGCACCTTGGCCTCGTTGCAATGAAGATGCTTAGTGCGCACACGAGTTACTTTTCCCGCTCCACCGAGCTCCGCTCTGTCATTGCCGACATGATGGAGCCGAGTCCAGGGCGGCGCCTCACGATCGCGGAGGTGGTGCGGGATCTGACGGAGTTGATAGATGGGCGCTCTGTGCCGCGGTTGCCCAATACGCTGGTGGGCCCAACCTCCACTATGCGCTTTACCGCACCGATGGCGTGCGGCGTGACGGCCCAGGCCACGGCACCCTCAACCGACAGCTCCACCGCCGATGAGGCAAACGGGAAAAACGGCAACAACGTTAGTTATGAATTCCCCGCGCATCACGAAACGGCGCACACGCCCAACACAATAGTACGCGGGGCACGGGCGAGGTTGCCCCCAGACTGGCACCGCCGCGCAATGGAGCAGGTGGAGGAGCTGCAACGTCTCAACGCAAGTTCCCCTGGTAGGTCCAGGGGTTGTTCCCCACTGTCGCGACAGAGTCGATCGTTCTCGACAGGAACGGGGCTGTCCCGCCCACATAGCGTAAGGAATACGGCGGCAACGCCCCCCACTTCGCGAATGGTAAAAACACCCAGTCGTTCTGCTGAGCGGAACCCAAGGGACTCCTTTGACAGCGCGGCAAAGGGGCGTAGAACTGCCACAGACATGGTCCAAGATCTGCTCAAAGAGCAGGAGGAGGAGCATCGAAGGCGAGAGGCGTTCCTGCAAGTACAAAAGGAAAAACGATGGAAGCAGCAGGAGAAGGAGCGCCAGGCGCTGAATGTTCACCAGAACCACGCGGACAAGATGAAAAAAATCCGCTCTAAACTAGACGATGAGACGAAACATGACATTCGTAAACACATTAAGCATTGGAGAGAACAACGTGCCCTTTCAGCCGATGAGAGCATCACTGTTAGCAAGGGAGGCGGCGTCTCTGTCTTTGTCCCAAAGCATGGACCACCGCCGGCGGTAGCAGTCGCAGGGACTAAAAAACAAGAGAGGGAACTTGCCACAACAGCGTCACTGGACTCGGAAGAACCCAAAGCAATAGTGTTCATCCCGCTCTGTAACTTGTCGCGACGACCCGCAAGTGTTCCAGTTGGCTCACGTTCGTCGCCACCGAGAGTGTGCCCGTCACGCTGCGCTGCCGTTTATCTCAAATCTGGAGTTAGCCCGAGTACTCCCAGGACGCGCGCCAAGTTAGTTTCCACGCCCCCCGCGATGGGACTCGCGCGAAGGTCAAATGAAATTCTTTCCATTTCGTCTCCAAGCTTGACCAACTGCGAGTCCTTAAGTTTTCCTCCAGGGAACGAGATGGTTGGCACGCCACCCCAGTTGCTGAGCTCGGCGGGCCTGTTCGATTCGCCTTTGGCAAGAAGAGGCGGCGAGGTTGATCAGTGTGCCTCAACGAACGGTGGAGGGCCCAGGGAGGGCAGCGTTCTTCCCTCACTTGAGGTTTCCGTCACAAACCTCAAAGACGCACTCGGTACATTGCTGGCCAATCACCACAGGTATGTAGAAGTCATGGATGTTGTGAACGCCTTTGTAATGCGGTCTGAAGCCGACCGCTGCAACCCACGCCTCAATGTTGTTTTTATGAGCACCCTCCGCAGTCTTCTGAACGATGAACAACGCTTTCTTGCTGCAGCGCCGTTATGTGCGCAGTTGATGGCGTTGCAGAGTCTCTTGAAAGGACCAGCCCTCGTAAAGAAGAGGGATTCCCGTGCGAGTGGAAAGAATGCGCAACGATGAGTGAGGTTTTATTTTTGTTTCATTCTTTCTGCTCGTCAGTAGGAGGGTATCAGATGCGAAGGCATATGCCCAAAACACGGCAAAAATAAAAACAAGCAAAAAAAGTAAAATGAAAAAAAAAAGACAGAAATAAGTCAGTGAAAAAAAAAGGTCAAAGGAAGTAATCGATTCACTACACCCCATTTTGCGGCGGAGAGTATACTTTTTTGGTTGTGTGTGTGTGTGTTTATTGGAGGCTAATCTTCTTCATTCAGCGAGAGGGTCAGGTGTGGCTCCCTTCCACCCACTCGACGGTTTTGCTTCTCTGTAATCACCCCCTTGCCCTCTACTTTTTCCTCCTCCTTCAGTAAGACATATGTGTGTGTCTCCATTGTGTATGTGCAATGTGTCAAAAACGCCGTGGCGGTGGCGGTTTCAGAGCTGATGTCTCTGCAAGTCGTCGAAGTTGGCGTGTTTGTGTATACATTTTCACCTTTGATGATGATGATTATGATGTGTGGGTGTGGGTGTTCCGTTGCTTTTCTTCTTGTCTGTGCTATGAAGTCTCCCTGGAAGGAATTGAAGCGAAAAAATTATGGGCGACAGAAGGAGAGTGGTCTATTCAAATACTTTCTCTTCTGCTCTGCAGTGGACCACGCATCTCTGCACACGCGCACACACACACACACATATATATATACCTCTATGATCGAATATCTTTATTCTACAGCTACTGCTCTTCTCAGCAAAATCAAAAAGAAAAGGGGGATAGATCCCGCGGCGTTTTCTTCCCACTGCATTTTTTTCTTGTTTTCGTAATCAGCGAAGCGGGACGGGTGATGTTATTTAATACCATCCCTCGAATTGCTTATTCCTTTCTTTTTATTGCGCTCTCCCAGCATAACTGTTTACTGCTATTGGTGCTCCCACGCGGAGGAGTTCGGTGGACGCGGGGGGTGAGGAGGGTCTCAAAGACAGACATTTCGCGCGTTATTAACGAGGGTCCAGTGATCGTAAAACTTCTTTTGGCTTCATCTGCTTATTACTGTATGTGGGTCTGCGGGATATCCCCACCCTGGAGTGGGGAATGCCGGAGGCATTTAAGCAAACTGTGATCTTTGACCGCGGCGTCCCGTTTCTCTACTGGAAAGGGATAGAAGTCCTGAGCCAGGCGCATATTCCAATTGTTCCTCTGCGAAGAGGCTCTACGTGATATTTTGTTTATGGCTTCGCCTGTTGTACGTCCCTACCTTTGTTTATTTGAATCATCATGTTGTCTCTCTGCCCCGGCCGCTGCCGCACCATATTTATTCCCTCTTCCCGTTGAGGCCAACTTTGAAAGATGAAGGGAAGCCGTCAAATGCGGAGCGACAACGCCCCTCCCAGCGGCAGCTGCCACCTGAGTGAGGTCCAGCAGCAGTCCGCCACGGCACTAAAGGAATCCATGCAGAAGGGCCGTTTTGTGGCGTACTACACGCATCCATACCGTCTGCCACTCAGTCAGAGTGCGGCAGTGCGGGCGCCTGAAAAGTTGCCGCGTGATGAGGCGACGATCGCGCCAGGGGACTTTTCGTTTCTCCCTTACCCCACGTATTGTGGCTTGACAACTGTTGACAAGGTGCTCTACAAGCATTGTTTGAGCCTTGATATTCCTTCGTAATGTGTTTCCCTCAATTGGAACCGCTGAGGCGCAAACAGTGTGTGCGTGACGCAACAATAAGTTCATGTGAGTGAGAGTGAGAGTGCGTCAGTGAGACAGATGGAAAAAAAGAGCAGCTGCAGCCATCGTCGTAGAGGTTTCCGTCCCGTTCTATTTCTTTCTCTTAACCCCACCTCTTGCACAAGTAAGGAGTGGACTATAGTGATAGTGGCAGCGTGGTTGGGGTGGGTGAAACCAACGAGGGGCGTAACATCACATAGTAAAGAGAAAGAAAAACAAGCAAAGAGGGGGCCTATTTTTTTTCTTTGTCTGCGTGGGCGCTTTGACGCATGACACGGAAGGTGGAAAATGGGGGCGTGGCGGCCAATGGATTCGGAGGTGATCGTGTACCCAACCTCACGCCGCACCGTGAGGTTGAAGTCACTGTGTATGACAAACTGCTCAACGAGGTGCGTGCATTCCGCTGTGATCAACAGCTATTGGAGAAGTCGATGGTGTACTTTGTGCCCATTATACGGCGCTACCTCGAGGAAGAGGCTGAGGAGGAACGAAGGAGGCGGCCTTGTGCGGATGGCGAAAGGAGTGGTGATATGACTGGTGCCTCTTCTCCCGCTACAACGAAAATGACGAGTAGCGGCGGGACGGAGGCGTCCGTGGACAGGGCTGGGACGAGTGATGGGAAGGGGTATGACGATGTGGGGCACTCCTCGCGACGGAGGTGGACAAGTCCGCCACCTCCTATCCCCCTCCGCGTAAACTGCGACCTGAGTATCTTTTCCTGGTTGATGTCGTATGTGGAAGGGAAAAGGCGTCCATTCACGCCAGAGAACGTCGTGTCGATTGCCTTGTCCTCAAACTTTCTACTAATGACGCAACTCGTCGATTTACCCCTTCAATACATCAAGGAAAACCTTGTGCAGGTGATGCTCTCTGGAGTCAGCATGGAATGCTTGACAGGGGAACTTTTGGCGCGGCTTTGTAGTATGCTTTCGGAGGGCGATCTCGCACGGGCCTTTTTAAAATTTTTTGAGTGGCGGGCCGAGTACTCTGCAAATAGGCGCTTTTTGACGGCACTGCTTCGTCATGTTGTTTGCGACCGTCTTGGAGAACGACGGGCAAGTGGCTTGCACTGGTGTCAATACTGTGGGGTTCTATTTGACCAACATGAGCTCCAGCGTCTGGAGCGGAGTGCCAAAAACGTGAAGCCGGCATTCTGTCCGCGGCTCCGAGAGAACTCGATTGGCACCCGTGGTGAGATTCTCGCAACCCATGTGGCTTCAAAGTGCCCTGCCGACCTTGCATTCCCTTCAATTTCCTGGAGTGATGAGCACGTGGAACGTTGGGCGTGGCGTATTATTGGGGCACTGTACTTTTTTGTGTGTCGACGGTGCAAACATTTTGTGCCGCTCATAGAGACCATGAGCCACGGGTGTTCTGGAGGATTGGCAAATTTTTCCTGCGTCGAGGGTGGCAACCGCTCCGACGCCGACGCACTTCTTGCTTGGTACGCCGTTTCTAGGGAACTTTACGCGGGTGGTTTGACCCCTATGCACTCTCACCAGAGAGATGTACAAAGTGAAGTGCTCCTGACGCTCGCCCCCTCGGGGGAGTGGACCTGCGATGACGGGAGCGACCCCGCCGTGCCGGGGCTGTGGTGCACGCACCCCATCGCCGTGGAGAGGTCCGTCAGCACGAAGGGAATCGTGAACCTCGACACGCAGAACGGTGTCGAGCGATGGCTGGTGCTGGAGCTGCAGCAAATGATGGAAGAGTTTAGTGGAGGGGGGGAACCCAACGTCTACGGTGGCGATGCGCAGACGCCACCACTGCCACCACCAGCGCTAGTTACCGGCCTTGCCTGGCAACCACCGACCAAGCCGGGCGACCGGGGCATAGAATACATGGCAGCAACAACTGCATCCAAGCGCTCATCGTATCGTGACAATAGGGGCGAGGGTCGTGGTGGGTTAACTTCTGGAAATGACGCTGTGTCTAGGCGGAAGGATGTGGCATGCAATAACAGCATACAGCGTGCGAACGCTACAACTGGTGGTGCACAGCTGGCCTACGACCCAAACAAGGCATTGGTCAGCTCTCCTTTGAGCACCTTTCGCATAAAGTCGGCACAAACCTCGAGGCTATCTTTGCGAAATCTAAAGGCGACTGATTCCTCGTTTAGAAAAAACAGCCTCCTTAACCCACAGAATTGCCGATGATATAATTATTATACTTATTACGCCCGAAGCCACATTACCACCGCATGTATATTACTTTAATTATGCCGGTACCTATTGGAGTGTTCCCATGTTTCCTCTTCTGTAGGTGGCACCATTCACGAGGAGATGCGTCTGCTTCCACGCACCTTTATTCCTTCTTCTCCCCCCCCTCCCTTCCCTCCGTTTTTCTTTATATGTTTTTCGTCCGCCTATGCCTCTTCTTATGCCAGTGTGAAACGACGGGGAATGAAGCCCCCGGCACGGAGTCCTTTTCCGAGCGGTGAGAGGGCGTGGATTTGGGCCGTAGATCCGGCGAGGCTGCACGCTGTCGACTTCCTTGCATACCGATTGGGCCTTTTTCAGCCGCCCTCTGAAGCTGGCCGCAGTGGGGCTGCAACGCCGACAAGGTCAAGGAGCCATCGACTAAATGAGCTTGCAGAGCTCTCGTCGGGTCCTACCCCTTGCCCCATTTTTGTGAAGAAGCAACGGGTCCCGAGTGGGGAAATACATTCCTTTTCGTCCCTTGACACGATGAAGCGCATGCTGCGAAAGTGGCAGGGGCAACAGCGGAAGCTTGCACGGCAAGAGGAGGAAGTGGCGATCAGGCAGGAATCAGAAGTGGCCGCCACGATGCGTCACCCAGAGTCTCTCTTTGACGACGAGGAGGCTGTGTTGTTTCGTTTCGGTATGGGCAGATTTGCGTCTCCCACTGCCCCAGCCTTCTCAGGGCTCTTCCGGCAGCATTGGAGGGATTTTTTTGTGACGGAAATGGTGACAGACGCTGTCGGAGCGGCAGTGGCCATCTCTCGCGAGCCGGATTGGTCCATACCCGCCTTGCCACCCTCGCTGCTTAACCCCGCCGAAACACGTGAGGAGGGTGACGTTGCTGCAAAGCCGCATACTAATCATGCGAATGGCGCTCAGAATGAATCTGGGCCCTCCTCGTCCTTCTTTGCAGTGGACGTGGAGGGGCGGGTGGCGGAGCTTCTCAAGGACAACGGCAGTGATGAAAATCATTTGAGCTCCACGGAGACGGATGCTTCTCATGAAAAAAACGATGGCGGGACTGGCAAAAAGAGTTTCTACCTCCAGTGCTTCCTCCATAAGCAGCACATCGCCCACAGTGTGGCGCTGGCCAATATCGCGCAGACGCTTCGCATGCATCCCTCTGGTGTTTCCGTCGCCGGCATCAAGGACTACATTGGGGACACCATACAACGAGTACGGCTGGAAAACATTACGCCGGCGGCGGCGTTGGAGGCAAATCGTTTTTTTCGCATGAAAAAATGGTCCATGTCGTTGTCTAACTTTTCTTACCAGACAGAACAACTAGTGCCGGGGCGATTGTTTGGCAACCACTTTAGGATTGTCTTGAGAGGTGTGACTGCCCCACGGGAGGACGTGGAACGCGCACTCCATGACTTTGAGCTGAATGGGTTCCCAAACTATTACGGGTGTCAACGCTTCTCGTGGTTTGGCGGCAAAAACGACGCCGCCTTCGCGCTGCTTCACCACAATTGGCTCGTGTTTGCCTTTCGTTTTCTTGGGTACACGAGTCGTGAGTTGACACTGCGTGAGCTGCTACAACGTGAGAAGAAGTACCCGAACCCCCTGCAGGATGAGTACCGCCGCAATGTCGTACGTCGTCTAAGGCGCATTGCCACGGAACCAACAGAGTTGGATGCGGCGCCGTTCCTTTCCTGTCCTCCACTTGGTGTCCCACCGACGTCTGCGGATGGCGGCCCTATTAGTAAAAAACAGGAGCTCATTATCTTGCAACTTCGCGGCGCCTTCCTAGACTTAAGCGCGAGAGACCGCCGCCTAACAGCGCAGCGGCTGAGCAGCTACCTGTGGAACCAAGTTCTAACGCTTCGACTTCATCACTTTGGTTTAGATGTTTTGGTGGGAGACATAGTCCTGCCAGAAACCTTTCGACGTTTGGCGGCACTGCCGGTAGATCGCGCGGATTGCTACCGTGATGGCATACGCTTCATCACAGACGAGGCGGATAAAGCGAACTACACCGTTGCGGACGTCATGCACCCTGGATTCTCCTTTAATGGCATTCAGCGTCCCATGAACGCCGTTGGGGAGTATTATCTTCAAGTCTGCGACAAGTATCATTTGGATTGGCATGCAAATCATACCAAAACGGGGATTCGTGATTTTCTTGAGCCACCGCGATCTATCATTCGAAAACCCCTAAATTTGCGACACGAATATAATAAAGCCGAGTCAACGCTAACGCTAGAGTTTGCCCTAGAACGCGGGAGTTACGCCAATGTCGCCATCAGTGAGCTCATGAAACTGCTTCGCTGCGCTGGGTCAGAAGAAATTCTCCTTCTCCCTGCCCCAGCGAGCTTGTGGGATTTGGGAAATCGTGACCCTGGCTATGTGACATCCATGCAGGACATCTACAGTGGCTTTGAGGATGGTCTTGGCTTCGTGGCGGACCAGCACGAGGTGCCCTTGGTGGGGGAGGGGAAACTGTGGGACTACGAAGGTCCACTCTTTCTGCCAGAAAGCGAGGACCCTGTGAAGAAAGCCTACCGGTGGGGTGAACAGCACCTTCTGCGAAACATGGCGCGACGTGCGCGGGATGAGGAGGCGATGAAGACGCGCCTCTTTGAAAAGCCTCTGGCAAGGACGCTCAAGGACGGGGAGGTAGAGCAGTACGCTGGGCACACCGTTCCCATGTCACCCAACAGCAAGGCAAAGCGGGTGTTTTTTAACGTTCTGCGTCGACAGCGACGGTTTCCTTGTGCACCAAAGACGGTGCCGCGTGTCAAGCGTGGAGCGGAGGTGCATAGCCGCGATTCTTTGCAAGTGCCCTTCAAAACTATCAACAGGAACACGTGGAATGTTACATGGTGAAGAAGGATTCCAATTTGGCCGCAATGTGTAAGGATGTAGGTGCGAAAGTGGGAGAAGGACGAAGCAAGAAAAAAAATGCACGAAAGGAACACCCAAAGGATGCTAATGGGGCTTTCGGGATCTTCGGCGTGTGATTTCACCTAGTTGAATTGGGGAACGGAGATCTAGCAGCGATGGTGATGGGGGGAATTTTAGAATGGTCTTTTAAAGTTGCATTAGGATAACGCTCTCATTGCCTTCTTTGGTTTTCGATTCTTTATTTCTTATTCTTTTTTGTTGTTGTTGTTTTTTGCTTTCGCTCACTCTCCGCAAACTTTTGTTGGGTAACACGGCTTCGTCAGATAAAGGGAACGCGAAGGGCAGACACAGCAGGGCAAATCCTTGATCTTATTGCCGCACCTGCCTCTCATGTTCCGCGCTCACGCTGAACACACAGGGCGGTCGCCTAAACTTGATGCTCCGCCGTACGACCCTTCCTTGTGGGAGGGAAAAGACTGCGCATTTATCACCACCTTGAGGGATGTCTATTATAGGCAAGAACGGATGGAGCGTCAGCTGCGCATGGAGACGTCTGTAGTTGGTGGGGCTGCTCTCCCAGTTCCCGCCGCCTCACATACTCAATTGGCCACTAGGCCATCTTCTTGGTGGGGGAAGCTCTTGGATAGCCTCTTCCCGCGGTACTATGCACAGCAGGCACTAGCCAATCTTGGCTTTGGCCAAATGAGCAATGATGAGCTCGTGAACCGCATGCATTTTGCTCTTCAGGCCGGAGATACAGACATCTCTGCCCTCATTGCAAAGGAGCTGGCCCGACGTAGAGCATGCTTGTATGAGGAAGATACTGTTACGCGTAGCACCGGAAGAAATACGCTCCCTACGGGAGTTAGTACCGGTACTGAATCCAGGATCCGGACCAAGCTCACTGGTGGCTTTGGTGGGCGCGTGAGTAGTGGTACGGCACCACACAGCGGCACTCGCCCCTCTACAGATTCTTCTTTTGTAGTGCCAGAAGTTTTGTTTCAAACGCGTCCGCGTGGTGGTGACAGTGGTGAAAATGTGCTGCGTTTTTAAATGGAATGCGATTGGTGTGATAGATGGAGTCATGCTTCTGCTTCTGCTCCTGCTCCTTTTTTTTTTCGTTCAACGTGTGCATTGACGGTTTTAAGTGGGAGTGAGCCCATTGCCATCTCCTGGATGACGGACAGTAATTTTATTTTTCATTGTCCCAGCTCCTCCTCTGGTTTTGTTTCTCTCATGTTATGTCTGATGCCGCTCCACATCTCTGACGCGAGTATATACGCGGGGCGAATGTGACCTCTGCCGGTGGTGGAAACTTTTCTTTTTTGTGTGCCTGCTTTTGTTGCTCTGCATGGGGACTTTGAAGGGGGGTGGGGGTGGGGAAGAGGAGGACTCGCGGGGGAGGCGGACGGCGAGGGTTTTTTGTTTGCTCTTGCATCGTCGTCCTCCGTTGTTTCTACACAAATGCCGCAGGCTGCGCACACTCCGTCGGACGCGGCGTATGACATGCCCTTCGAGCCTTATCCCGTGCAGAGGGACATGATGCAGGCAATTACCACTTGCCTGCAATCGTCCTCCCCGGTCATTCCCGTGGCGGCGGTTGAAGTTCCCACCGGCTGCGGCAAGACACTGGCACTCTTGTCCAGCGTACTGCGCTATCAGGCCACACTGGAGCTACTCGCCCCCCATGAATTGGAGGAATACATGCGGAAGCGACGATGGAAACCCCCAGCGCCGCCGCCGCCGCCGCCATCTTTGCTGAATGGAGAGAGCCTGGCGAGAAATGGGAGCTGCATCAGTGACGACGCAGTGAATAGTGAAGAGCAGTGGGGAGTGCCACATGAATTTTTTAAACAGTTTCGCACAAAACATAGTAAGCGTCTTCGTGTTGAGATGGATGGAACACCGTGGAAGCTTCGCCAACAGCATGAAACTCCCTGCTGCACTGTGTTCTACGTGACACGAACCCACTCTCAAGTGCGTCAGACCATTGGTGAATTGCGGAAACTGCGTAATCTGCATCGTCTTAAAATGAACGTTCTGGGTAGTCGAGAACGGTACTGCATTAATAGCACCGTTTTGAAGGCTCGAGCAAACAAGACACTGCCGGTTGAGGGAAATAACTTGGGTGAAGTTTGCGACAAACTTGTTTCCCTTGGTCAGTGTGAGGCTGTGCATAATTACGGACTTCTTGGCAGCCGAGCCATCAGTTATCCGCTCTGTCAGGGGCGCACGGAGAAGGTGTGGGACATGGAGGACTTGGTCGCTGAGGGGGTGGCGACTCAGAGCTGTCCGTACTATGCCGCTAGAGATCTTGTCTTCTTTGCGTGTGTCAACTTCGCCACGTACCAATATCTCCTGGACCCACTTATTCGCCATGAATGCAAGATGGAGGCGGCATTAAAGAATCACTCCATTGTTATTATTGATGAGGCACACAATGTACCGTCAGTTTGCCAAGACGCACTCTCATTGGAGGTAACGCTTGATGACCTGCGTCTTGTTGTGAGTGAAATCGAACCACTTGTAACTCTGTCTGCGTCAATGCCAACACTAAGTTATCCTCGCGAGTTTAAATTGACACACTGGACGTTGGCCCAGCTCTTTGCCCTTCTTTACGATGTGTTCCATGCCATTGTGAAGTTTGTGGAGAGGCAGGAGTGGAGTGCTGAAAACGCCCACCAAGCATCCCAGCGACGGTTCACCGAGGAAGCGGACGAGGATGACAGGCACCGAGGTCCGACATTGTCTGGCGAGGCTCTTGCTAATATCATACAGCATTGTATTCTTGACCATATCCCCTTCGCCTTGAAAACTGGGGGTGTGAATAATAGAGGGACCTCCAACTGTTTATCGAACGCCACGATGGATTCTACAGCCATGTTCCGTCAGGTGTACGGTATTGTCATGTCCTTGGGGGTAACATTTAATCCGTTTCAGTTTTCCGTTTTCAGCTTGTCCATAATGAAGCGGTGGCTTTTGGTGATACGTTTCATGCTGCAGAAACCATCGGCCTTTGCGGTGAGCATTCGCGACGCCGCCTTAGATGCAGTGTCGCAGGAACGAGTGATGGGGCGAGGTCCAGCGCTGCGGAGGAGTGTGGGCTTTCGCTGCTTAGATGGCAGTCTTGCCTTTCGCCACCTTCTGGCGGCTACCCATCGTGTAGTGTTGGCGTCTGGGACAATTGCGCCATTTCACCAGCTTGGTCGTGAGCTTGGAATTTCGCTTTCCAACATGTTGACCTATGAGGGGTCACACATAGTGGGCGTACACCAGTACCGCTTAGCCGCACTCACACACACGGTTGATGCTTCTCGACTGCATTGTAACTATGCAAATTTTAGAGACACTTCCTTCATTGACCGTCTAGTGTCCGTCGTCGTTGCACTCATTGGGCAAGTAAGGCGGGGTGGAGTGCTTGTGTTCTTGCCGAACTATGGAGTTATGCAGTTGGTGGGATCAAGACTCTCTTCCCACCTTCGTGGCGGAGCTGGACAACAAACGCGGGTATTTACAGAGCCCAAGGAAGCAATGGAATTTCCTTCCATGTTGGACGCATTCCGCGCAGAGGCGAGTTGTGGCGCGGCCGTTCTCGTCTCCGTCTATCGTGCGAAGGTGGGCGAGGGGATGGACTTCGCGGACAACATGACCCGGCTTGTTGTCTGTGTGGGCATTCCCCTCCGGCCACTCAAGTCTTGGACGGTTGCGGCGCAGCGGCGGTACAGTGGCGAGGAATGGTACATTATTGACGCCATACGTGCAGTGAACCAAGCGCTGGGACGTTGTCTTCGCAATGGTCGTGACTTCGGCGCGATGGTGCTGTTGGATGACCGATTTGAGCAGGAGGCTTTTCAAAACCGCCTCCCAAAGTGGTGTGCTGGCAGTTTACAGGTGCACCACACACCTGCGTCCGTGGTGGAGGAGCTTGCCGCCTTCTTTCGTCTCATGACTGTGCCAACTGCCGCGGAGAGAACACGGGCCCAGCAACGAGAGCAACAAAAGGAAGGAGCAGGAGGCTGTTGCACAGGAAAATTGCCGGTGGCTAATCCATCTCATTCTGTGGCACAGGTTGACCACGCACCCCGGGAGTTGCCTTCGTCTGGGGCGAATAAACAGCATTCACAGGTGGCAGCGCTGCTTCCTTTCTTTCTTGCTGCAACGAAAAAACGGCCTCGGATCACCACATGCACGCATGAGTGGAGCTGCACCGCGGTGAAGCTTTTGTACGAAGGTCATGACACAGTAGAAGAGGTGGCTGCCGCGGAACTTCGTGACACTTTGCACCTACTCGAAAAGGAGTATCTGAAGTCACCTGTTAAAAAGTAGAAGTCTGCAATTGCTATGGAGGGCATATCCTATGCGTGTGTGTGAGAGAGAGAGCGATAGAAGGAGTTGGGGAGGAGGGTTTCTGGGGCGCGAAAGTGAAGTACTCCCCGCCTGGGGCAGGAGGAGAAGTAGGCGACGGGAGAGGATAGTGGTGAGATTTTCACGAGTGCCTTGTTTGATTGCCCTTTCAGCTGTGTCCGGGGAAGTAAGCATGGATATATATATATATATATATATATATATGTATATGTATATATATATAAGCAAATACGTATGACTGGTTTCACTCTCGCTTTCCCCTCCCACAGAACAAGAAGGAGAGTGAAGGATTGAAGCGGAGGAATAAAAAGATCGGGAGGTGTGGAGCGAGGCTCATGGAATGGATTCCATGTGAAGAGCAGGCGGGGAGGTTGGGCTTTCGCGAAGGCCACTGTGCGACATGTCTGTTAGATCCAGCAACCGGAGAGGAGTGGGTAATGTGCGTTGGCGGTTATTGCGAAGGGGAACGCGATGGAAGCGCCATGGTAAGCAAAGTCTCTCAGCTGCCGGTCCTTTGCTGGATAACCGTTGCCGACCACCTACCCTGCTTAGAGTGCGACGGCGCATCCTTGACGCGGGTTGGGAACGCCCCTGCGGCGTACATGTTTGGTGGGCTAGATGCGGACATGAATC